AGTTTTCAGGCAGGTGTACAAAATTAGCCAACATTCACAAGAGCAGAGCTAGCAGCAATAATTACAATCCTATTGGTAATACCAATAGAAAGCTTAACTAAAATCATATAGATAGTTAAATATGTATATCTAAATGACACAAGTTGAAAAAAAATGATCTGAAAATGACTCATAGAAGATGGCTAAAAGAAAAAAACTAATTCTTTTGAACAAGAATGCTAAATATCATCAAAACAAAAACCATAAAGTTGAAGTTGATTAAAGTTAAGGTGCACATCAATATCAAGGAGAATGATCTAATAGACAAGTTGGCTAAAGAAGCATTAAACCTTCCAACAATTCAGTAGAAGGACCTTAAATCTAACAAGATCATTACAGAAGTAAAATAGCAGAATATAACATTGGATAGTCTCATAAGACAATTCATAAAGAGAATAAATAATAAAACAACAATATACTGCTGGTTACAACAAAACTGAACTAGAGACAAATGGAATCTTTAAATAGAAGATCAGCAAAACTATTCATGGAACATAGTATAGGAAAGTCTAAAAATGGAATACACTTGAAACACCTTCTTTAAAAGCTCATAGTGAAAAAGTTTTCTGGTGAAATTAATCAACAATAAACTATCATCAATGGCCAAACTAGTGATCGAAGATCAGATTTATATCACAAAGATAACTGTTTAGTATACGGTAAATAGAATGAAACAATAGAATATCTTTTGGAATGCCCAAGATATAAAAATACAATGAAGAAAACCTGGTTAAGAGAAGTAGAGATAATATATTAAGAATTTAAGAAAGAGAGGCAGAAGCAAAAAAACTAAGCTCAAAAAGAATACAATAATATCCCAATAGTAGATAAAAAATAAATGAAAGAAATAGAAATATGAACAACAAAGCTTATTGGAAGAGTATCTACAAATAGTCAAGGCTTAATCAATTTTCTATCAGGGCTGATTAAAAGAGATCTATTAAGAGAAGTAGAAAAACTCGAATATGTAGAAAAAAAAGATAAAAACAGTCATTAGAAAATTGATACTCTGTTATTAAAGAAAGATTTTGAATTATTTCAGGAAAGAAATATGGAACAAAAGATATAAACTAGTAATAGAATGAGAAAAGGTTCAAGGAATTTTTTGAAAAGATAAAACAAGATGGTTTATAAAGTCTTATTCAATAAGAAAAATAAGAAAGTTAAGAGAAAAAACAAAAAAAAACAAAAGAAGAATATTCAGGAAAAGATTTAATAAGGATAATAATGATGGGAGTTAAAAGTAAAATAAAATAGTTGGATTTTAGGCTCAGTCAGAATGTTGACCAGTGATCTATAGTAATAACTGCAGGCAATGATATTCATAGTAGAAGGGTATTCATTCAAACTATAAACAGAGTAACAAATCACTTTCAAAGTTGTACTTAAAGTTTGACAATAAACTAAAATGAGTGAGTTAATTAATATTTTAGCTTTAGTGACACTGTAAATATTATAGCCTATATTATGTTTAATAAAATATACATAACTAATCAGACAGTGAGTTAAATTAAAAAAAAAAAACCCCCCATTAAAAAAAAACTTTTTTTACTGATCCACTGATTACATACAAAAAAGATATTCATAAGAAGTTTTTATACTTCTTTGCTAATAAAGTCTTAATTCTTTTCTTAAAACAATTTAAAATAGAACTTCAAGAGTTACTTTTACCTTTCCCTATTATTTACAAATCTCTTCACTCAAAAACTTGATTTTTAGTGATCAAGAAAAGTCAAGTAACACCTTTAATACCAATGGCAAAAAAGTTCACAAAGGAAAAATAACTAATTGTAAAGTATCTGAAAACCTTTCTAATCTTTGAAGCAAGAGATTTATAGAGATTTTCTATAGTAAAAAAATTTATTTTCTTTTTTTTTGACTGTTTTGATCCTCTTAGAGCTTCTATTTTTATGGTTTTTTAAGGAATTTTGCTTATCTCAGTTTGATCCTGAATTTTGAATAGCACAAATCCTCACCAAAGATAATTGGCTGATATAAAACACATTAGTTTTTTGTAAACAAGCTTTTATTGGTCACACTCACATGTCTTGATACATCATTAGTAATATAGGAAAAAAAGTTCTAGAAAAAGTGTTTCCTTCAATTATTTTATTATTATTTTTTTTTTAAACCCATGATTAGACCAGTACTGTATGTTTATTAATCATTAAGAAAACTGATTGAGATACATAAAGCAATTGCATCATGGCTAAACTAAAAAACTCATACTGACATATTCATCAATGGCTTTTAATTCTCAAAAAAGCTTCAGCCTCTAAGTGCAACCTTGGAGACAATATTTCACTTTGAACTAAGTTTTGGATAAAGACCCTCCCAACTTATCCATCATTGCCAGCAGATTGTCACTACTTATTATCCTTCAAAGAACTGAATTCGAGAAACTACAAAAGAAGAAAGGAAAAAAAATAAAAGAAAAAGGGAATATCTAAAAATGGGCAAATGTATTACATAAAAATGAAAAGAAAAAAAAATTTAAAATTGTTTCATGTTCTTCAAAGAATCTCTGCTAAAAACCTCTTCTTATTAGGAGTTAACCCTTCTATGATATCCTTCTTCTTCCTGACCATCTAAGGAACTTATCCATATGTGCTCTTGATTATTTTCTTGTGACTGTTTGAGGTACTTATTACCTACTCAGATCCAGTGTCTTGCTCAACGCTTCCTTTTTTTTGGTCTTAATTTTGTATCCATCCACACAAAACAGAATGGTTAATAGTAGATCCCAGGCTCTTATATGACTTTTCAATCTTGTTATGTAACTCCCAATATCTTCCAGCAGCCATGCCTAGTTAAAAAAATTTTACTGGTGTATATCTTCCATTACTCAAAAAGTCAGATTCCACAACAATCTTTTTGCCTTGCAATAATGAAAGGGTCTTATAAAGTATGGGGATCCTTATCGATTACGATATCATTATACAACATCTGGTGAAATACATTCTCAATCCTAAAGAAGGGCAGTGTTTTACATTCCTCTGTTTTTTAGTCTTACAGCCTGACCGGGATAAGGAAATAACCTCTTTCGTGTACTTTGTCTAACTGAGATGATAAAAAGTTGAAGGCCTCAGCTTGAACAAATAACCACCTTTTCATCATCTAGGGAATTTAGTGCCCATCCTAATGGTCTCATGATTTCTTTGCTTCATTTAAACTTCATTTGGAGAAGTGAAAGAGTTCGCATCCTTGATTTCTCTTTTTATTACCAATAACATCATCGGAATACATGAGGTGACCAATAAGAGCTTATTACATTCAGCTACTAACGTGTTTTGTATCAACCAATCAGATATCAGATAATGTTATGTTACCAAAAATTCAGGGTCAAACTAAGGTAGGCAAAATCCCTCAAGAAAACCATGAATATCATGAAAATCAATAAGCACTTTAAGAGGATATAAAACAGTATGTGAGAAGGTAGAAAATAAGTCTTCTCCTATCAACAAAACCTTTATTTCTTGTTACTTCTAGCTCTGTAAGGTGACACTCCACTTGTCAGTCTTTTTACTTTCTAGAACCTTCTTGTCTTTAGTAGAAGAAGTGCATACTTGAGTCTTTTCAGACCACTAGAAACTCAAGTTTTTATTCAAAGAAGTTTATAAACAAGTAAGGGAGGGTAGAAGAGATAAATAAAGACAAGCTTCAAGTTGTTTTAATGAAAGTATAAAGATGTTATTAGCAAGGAAGTATAAAACTTCTTGCGAATATCTTTTTTGTGTGTAGTCAGAGGATCAGCAGAAAGAGTTTTAAAGTATTTGTTTTTTAGTGTTTCCTTTAATTATATATGTTCAACTTTCAAAAAACAATTATAATACTGAAAAGCAAGTGATGGATATGAAAAGAAAATCTAACTCTCATTTCTCATTAAATTCTTCAAGTGGTGAAAAGGCTTTTTTGAACAAAAGCTGGGATCTTCAAGCTTCTATTCCGATTAGGCAAAGTTTTTGAAAAGATTTCTTTATTTTGATTAGACAAACTCTTCGATAATATGGTACTGACTTCAATAGTGTTAAGTGAATCTGTATATTGATAGAAGAATAAATTCCTCAAATATTCTTCTTAAAGTCACTTTCAAGAATGGTTAAGTTTCTCAAATATCATAAAGCTTAAAGAATATTCCAATTAGGCAAATCCCTTTTGAGAAAAAACTGCGAAATAAAGCAAAAACCTTTTGGAGGGCTTTGAATTGTATTTCCTATTTCCTTATTTCCAGTGCCAACTTTAACAATTCATCATTTTTTGGAATAACAAACTGTTGGCAATAACTCTGGTTGACTTAGAGGCTCTATGCCAAGTTACTAGGAGAGCATAATATTGTTTCCTAAATTTGATTTATAGTATTTAGTTTATTTAGACTTAATTTTGTTTAGTCCAAACTAGCTTAGTGAACTTCTCATATTTTTTAAATAGTGTAATCCTTTAACTAATAATGTAAAACAACGAGTTAGTCACTTTGTGAAAGTCTGTAAACATTGTGATATCTTTTAATATCTCAATAAAGACATATCATTGCAGCATGATTGCGGGTAGATATCATCAATAATAATAATAATAAATGCAAAAAATTTTTTGATCGAGTTTATCTTATAAATTATGAAATATAAATTTAAAACTTAAAATTTTTACTTTTATTTCCTAAACCTTTAGCAGATGCAATATCACATATCCCAAATCCAAAAGGTCGCTTCTGATATCGCGGGCAAATCTAATCGCAAAACAGTGTAAGGATAACAATTCGAACTTATTTAATTAGTGAAAATTATTACGTAAGCCTCAAAAACTTTAATGACGGTACGTATGTCATAACAGGCTCTTTTGGAGAAGAGAGTTCTAGACTGGGCCGAGTCGAAATCCAACTTCAAAGCTATTTTTCCGTCAATAAATCCTGCTAACCAAATTTAGAAAAGTTAAACCAATTTCTCTATCCTGGATATATATATATAATGCACAATAAGACATTAAAAGTCACCAACATGTCAAATAAATCAAGTAAAAAACGAAATTTTCGTAAAAAAACAATATTCTCTGAAGATAGGGAAGAAAAATCATTTTATAAACCAAAGATTGCTGTCGATGAAGATTCGGACGACGTGAGGCAAGATTTCCAATTTCGTTAATTACACTATATTTTATTTCAATTATTCTTACTTCTAAAATTGTTATGTAAACTCGAACTTATAGCAAAGTATTTTGTTACTCGTAGTGAAACACTCGAGGAACTTATAGAACTTCGTAAGTATCGCCGAAGGCCTCAAGGGATTGACGCAGAAAAACTTTCAAAAGGAGAAGCAAAGGCAAAAAAAAAGAGAAAGGAGGAGGATCCACGAAAGTCGATTGCAGGTGGACTGACCGATGTAGATTCTGTTGGAGAAGAAGAAAGGTGTGCAGTGCAATCTTTTGTAATTTTTAGATTTTGGATTCACATATATATATTTACACTCTAATTTTTCAGCAGAGACTCCGGCGAAGATGTTGTCGAAAAAAAGATCATGCTCGATTCGTTCACAAAACAAACAAATACATTAGACGTCGATAAGCATATGTAAATATTTTGTTTCTATTGTCTGCCGATAACACATAGCATAATGACATCAATGTTTATATATACATCGAATTTTAGGATGGCGTACATAGAAGAGGAAATGCGCAAACGTAGGGGACAACCAGCAAATTCAAAAAATGATGTCGATGATGCTGAACCAGCAGGACCTTCTGATCCTCAAGATGAACTATTCCAAGCACCCGAACATTTACGGGTAAGTGAAAACATAAGCTCAGTTCATTATGCGCCTAAATGGCGTTCGATCAACTTATTTTTGATTTACTTTTAGATTGAAAGCAAACCAATATCAGAAGGAAATGTACAGCTATCGACTACTATGCTTACTGCTATACCAGAAGTAGATCTAGGGATAGAGTAGGTTACACGAAATTTCTTTTGTTATCAAAATAACCTCATTTATTTACTCATATAAAACATTTTATGAAGTGTCCGACTAAAGAATATAGAAGAAACAGAAAAGGCAAAGCGCAAGTTACTAGAACAGCGGCATAATAAACCTAAAGAAGAAAAAGACACTGTACGTCTAAAAAAAAAATGTTTTTATATATTACTAAAAGCCGAATTAATCATATTAATCATATATATTTTTGATAAAAGTTTGAAGGATCAAATTTTTCTGCCACCAACAGATGTAAGTTTAAACAACAGAATTAAAAAAATTATCACATTCCAGCATATGTTAATTAATTTCGCTTTCTTAGTCTATCGAACCCGACCTACTGTTAGCGATCACGAAAGAGCAAACCCGGATCAACAAAATCCAAACCCTCATCATAATAAGCCTGGAGCACGTCGGGAAATGGCAACAGATGATATTGTAGCAGAGAGATTTAAAAAGCGGTTACGCAGATGATGATTCTTATTTTTAAGCCAGTTTTTTTTTGTTTGTTTATTGTTATTTGTTTTACTGATACATCATTATAATAATTGAGTGGATGAAGCAGTTTGGTATTCAATAATAGATTATTTTCTTAGTTAAATCCCTATAACTATATTTTAGAAATTATAATGTAATAATAATTTGTCTCAGTGGTTCCACACTTACACATTTATTTGATTTGTAAAACTATATTTTATAGTTTAAAAGTGTAAACACTACACACCCCTCCCCTATATTACTGGAAATCAATAATTGGTAAAATAAAGTAACGATTTTTAAATTCGATTTTTTTTTTTTTTTTTTTTTTTAATAAAAAAAAATATAATGATATAAAAGAAAAATTTCTATTTTATAGATTAAAAAAGAAAAAAAAATTTTTTTTTAATATTCAATGTTTACCTTTAATAACACTTTCAATACATTTGGCATACTTAAATTAGATTATGTAAAGTATTTATAGTAATATTTGCTTCTTTTTCTTGTATAATTCAAATTATACCTTGTTTTGATTGAAATAAAGATTTTCTTTTTTAAATTTGATAATCAAAATAGTTTTATAAATGTTCAATTAGATTTAAATTTAGATTTTATGGAACTCAATTTAAAATCAGAATATCATATATTGCCATTTATCAAGTTATATAAGATAATATAATATAAAACAAAATCTTATTGAAATATTATATTTAAATTATTACAAAAAAGTATAATATCAATAATTTTTTAATACATTAATTAATGATCACAGTTTTGATTCAAATTTGATTGATCTGTAAATAGATATAAATTGACTTGAATCAAATTTCAAAATTTTTAAATCAATTAAATTTGAATTGAATTGAATTTTAAATTTATAAAAATATCAAATTCAAATTAGATTTGAATTGATCTATATAAATTATTATATAATTATATAATTTATTTAAATTGAACTATCTAGAAAATTAAAATAAAAAAACTTATTTTTTTTTTAAAAAAATAATATATAAAAAATAAGTTTAAAAAATCTGGTATTTGTTTTTTTTTATAAATTTTTAATGGTTTTTTTAATTTTTTTTTTAAAAAATTGTTTAATATATATATATATATTTTGAATACTTGAAGCTAAGCTAAAGTGCAAATTTATTAATCCATGAAAACATAAGTATATTTTTATTTGAGCAGTATGATAAATACTATAGCCAAACTATTATTCTAATCTAACTAACTCATCATAAACATAATAACCTTTAAGTTTAGTTTTGGAAACAATATTTTACTCCATAGTATCTTTGAATAAAAACTTTTCTAGTTTACTGTATTATTGCTAACAGGTTGTTATTGCTGTATATCAATTCAAGCCACTGAAATATAGAAAACTACAAAAAAATAAATTAAAAAAAGGAAAAAAATATATTTAAAAATATCCAAGTAGATATATAAGAAAACAAAAAAAAAAAATAAAATAAAATTCTCCAGCTTTCTTTAAAAATCTGTTTCTTAAAACTTTTTCTCAATAAGAAATGCTCGATTAAGATATCTTTTTTTCTCCTGACCATTTGAAGAACTTATCTATTCTTGAAAGCTAGAAAGAGTTCTTATATAACTATATAAAGAGAATATACAATAAAGATTGATATTAGAGATTTCATAAAATATTTAATAAAAAAAGGATTAAATTAGACTGGACAATATAGAAAAGGATCCAGGATCTTTGGATTCAAAATAACAAAGTCATGAATTGATTAACTTTTTAAAATTAGTTCAATCTAATCAATACTTTTAATATCTTTTTCAAGATTAATAAAAATCAAATTTTTCTAATTAATCTAATTTACAATAAACTTTTAATTCTATAGATACTTAAGAAAAGGAAATCAAATGTACTATATATATTATATCACTTGTCCAATATGTAAACTTCAAGAAGAGACATTAAGGCATCTTTTTGAATACCCAATTATTAAAAAAATCAAGAAATACATATGCAAAAAAACAAATGAAAAGATCAATAAATATATTAATAAAGAAGTAAAAGATAAGGAAAAAGTCCAATCTTTAACAAGTGATTGGATAGATAAATGGTTAAAAGAAATTCAAAAATTTGACAAGGATCTTTTTAATATTATATATAAATATATAGAAGAAGATACACTACTTTTTTAAAAAAGTATCTCAAAGAATAACTCAAAATTTCACATGTAACTATATGAAATATAATTAATAAGTTCTATCAAAAGATGCAAGTAAACTTCAAAAAAGAGATCTGAAATAGTTATTATGCCAAAGTTATAAAATGAAAAAAGAAGAAGAACATTATGAAAGAAGATAAAAGAAATAAAAGATATAAGTATAAATCTAATATATAGACTGAACAGGACCAAGAAATATTACTATTACCTTTAGAGAACCCAAACCTGGAAGGCACTAAAGAAAAGAAAAAAAAGAAGTATATAGCAATTATTAAGAATTTGGTTTGTCATGAAATCAAATGATTTAGTTTTTAACTATAGACAGAACTTAGAATGATCTATAGTAATCATCTGTAGGTAATGATTTTACTATCTAAGAAGACTTATTATCTAGTAGGAGTCTTTACTTCCAGGACACACTTGGTTTCAACCTTTTTTGAGCAGTGATTTTTATCCATCTATAATAGAGAAGTAACTTGTAATGAATCTTGGGATCTTATATGATCCAGTAGGAACTAAGCTATATTATTTCAGTATAATACCTTCTAGCAGCTATACCTAGTTAAAGAAATTTTACTAATATACATTTTCTATTATTCAACAGGTCAGATTCCTTATTAATACCTTTTGCCTTATAATAATGAAAGGGTCTTAAGAGTGATAGAGATCCTTGTTGATTATAATATCTTTTAATAACTTCTGGGGAAATGTATTTTCAACTGTAATCAAAGAATTGGAGCTTAGCATAAACTAGAGAACATTCAATCTTATTACCTAATTGGAATAAAAGGAGACCTTGGTTTTGAACTTTGCCTGACTAGAATAATAAAAGAAAAAGATCTCAACTTGAACAAATGGTAGTTTTTTCATCATCTAGAGGCTTGTTGCTCATATCTTATTGGCTTTATAGTACTTAATTTGTAGGTTAATCCAATTGAAAGAATGGGACAGGAACAGGATATCAATCAATTCTTCCTATTATCAATAATATTATTGGAATACATAAGGTGACCAATAGGTACTTATTTACATTCAGTCATTAATATGTTTCATATCCACTAATCATATTTTGTAATAGATTTTATTATCTAAAATTTAGGATCAAATTCAATATGAAAGGCTTTCAGTATTATACTATTAGTTCTTCTTTCTTGTAAAACTTTTTTGCCATAGGTAGAGAAGATGTTTCTTGATTTTATTAGGTCATAAGAAGTCAAGTTTTTATTTGAAAATGAATATAAACAAGAGAAGAGGTTTAGGAGTAACTCTTAAAGTAAAACTTTAAGTTGGTTTAAGGATAGTATTAAGATTTTATTAGCAAGGAAATAAAAAATTTTTTGCAAACATCTTTTTTATGTAGGTAGAGGATTAGTAAAAAGAGTTTTAAATTTTTTTAATATTTCATTATATTATTATAGTTTTATTATTTAATTATTTTTATTATATTTTTTATTTTTGCTATTTTTTTTAAAAAAAAAAATAAAACATAAAAACTTATTTAATAACATTCAATTTTCATATAATAAAAATAGTAATTTAACTAATTATAATAATATTGATTTTTTTTTTTTTTTATTTTTAATCTGCAATCATGTCACAATGACGTGTCTTTATTAAAAAATTGAAATGAATTTACAATATTTTACAGACTTTCACAAAGTGACTAACTCTTCTTCATACAAAAGTACTCTAAGTCATATTTTGGGGACAATATTTCACTCCCCTAATAGATTGATAATAATCTCTATCTACCAGGATCATTGCCAATAGTTTGTTATTATAGATTGCCTGAAAACCAATGAATTGTTAAGTTAAAAAGGGGAAGGAGAAAAAAGAATTGGGAAAAGAGGACAATTCAAGGCCCATAAAAAAAAATCCAAAAATAAAAGCAACCTCTTCTCAAAAGGGATCTGCCTAATTGAGATAATCTTCTTGTTTCACTTGAACCTCGGAAGAAATCTTCTTTTTTACCACCTGTGGCATCAGACGAGTCAATCCAACTGATCTTTATTTAAGTGAGCACTGGATTGAGATATCTCAAGAAAAGCATTTAGACCTCAGCTTTTTTCCATTAAAGCTTTGTCACTACTTAAGGAACTTTAGGTAAAAGACAGGAGTTTGCAATCCACATTACCCATCCTTTGGTCTTTTGGTATCATAGAAGTTTTCATTGAGGGACTTGAGCTTTTTGGAGGCAAACATTTCCAGAACCTTCTTTCCAATCACCAATGATATCATCAGAACACGTGAATATGACCAATAAAAGCTTGTTTACATTCTAAAAACTAATGTGTTTCGTATCAGCCAATCACTTTTGGTAAGGATTTATGCTACCAAAAATTTAGGATCAAATTGAGATAGGCAAAATTCTCCAGAAAACCATGAAAGTGATAGCTCTAAGAGACCCACAAGTGACTGGAAGAGAAAAATAAGTCCTTCTGTTGTTAAAAACCTCTATATACCTCTTGCTTCAAAGGTTGAATAGGCCTTCAGGTACTTCATAATCAGTTCTTCTTCCTCTGGGAATTTTCTTGCCGTTAGTATTAAAGGTGTTACTTGACTTTTCTTGGTTACTTGAAGTCAAGTTTTTGAGTGAAGAGGTTTGTAAACAAAAAAGAAAGAGTAGAAGTGATTCTTGAAGTCATACTTCAAGTTGTTTTAATAAAAGTATTAAGACTTTATTATCAAAAAAATATAAAAACTTCTTGTGAACATCTTTTTTGTATATGATCAGAGGATCAGTGGAAAGAGTTTTTTGTTTTTTGTTTTAATTATAATAACATTGATATTGAAAATATTAAT